AATTACCTACATATATATTAAACGATCGCTCGTTGTATCATTAGCAGAGCATGGGAAACCATCAGAAGATAGCAACAGTTTTATTGCTTCGCGGGACAAAGATTTGCTCTTTTTCGGAGCAATTTTTCTGAAGCTAGAAATATACGGATGCCATAAGCCAATGGAAAACATCTTCCATCGTTTTCTCCCGAGAAAGATTTTACACTAAGTATTTTAAATTTGTATTATTTCTTTTACTTAATATTTTAGCAACGATTTGTTAATTCGCTAAAAAAATTGTCAACACAAATATCCACAATTCAAATTTGACATTAACACACTATAATGTGCATGCGGGGTTGTTTTAACGCACCTACAAGAGGTGGGTTAAATATGTAAAATCGGTGTAGTCACGAACGATTTACGCAAGTGAAAGTCTAGACACCGCTGTTGTAATAAACGTTTTGAGTTAAATCTGAGTGAATCGAGTAAACGTCATGAACGCAACCCGAAATAAAAATAAATCTTATATTTTGTAAAGCAAAAACACAGATACGCGCTCGACATAGGCTTAAAATCGCTAGGTTTTTTACCACAACCGTGGCTGAGCGCCCAAGAACATGTAGTTTTAAAGAGCCGGGGGCAAGTTGGGGCAGCTAATTTATTGATGGCTTGATAGACAAAACTGTAAGCTATTCAACGGATCTTGAACTAATGCCTTACAATTCATTACAATTTTTGTAGCTCCATTGTTCTAAAAGCTCGATTCAAAGTTTTCGATTTTAACAATAACCCGTTGTACAAGCAAAATCTACGAAAAACAAATACATATCTGAATTTTAGATACTTTGAAGATCACCCTTCATCAAACCGCATAACAATCGGACACACCAAACATAAGTTATTCACTTTTAAACAATAAACAATTTTCCGCAGCGATCGCGTGAAAAGTACCTTCAACTGAAAGCGTCAAGTTTAAACTCATGTACAAGACAAAATATACGTATTTTATATATATATTTTTTTCAATACAGGATGGAGACAGGTATTAACTATCCATCTAACTCAAAATTTACCTGAAAAAAAATGTCAATTTTTGAGGTTTTGCCGATATTTTCCAGAATTGAAACACTGTGAGCCGCCACTAAAAACTAACTATTTATAAGTAAGTATTATAGTTTATTTCATTTTTGGACAGAAGATAGTTTAATAATAGGCAATGAATGAAGAAATAGAAAAAGTAAAGAAGTTTTGTTAGTTACTTATTAGATAACTGATGCTTTTATTTGAAGCTATCTAACCTCACTTTATACTTTTATTATTATTTTTATAATTGTAAGTACATGTTATGTTTAACACATAAAACTGTGCCTTGAAAATAAAATATTGTTGTATGCCATTCGGCTGAGAAGTGTATTTTTGTGCTTCGCTCAATTCTAGGCCTCCGCCGACGCCGACGCACAGACAGGTATTTTTAGCTAAAACCAAAAATCAATGTTGTTAATTTTTATTACTAGATCTAAGATTGCGTCTCAAAGCAAATAGATAACATGGCTATCGTTTGGTGTAATAGCTACCTGAATTGGCCATCGAAAGTTTTTAAAATGGAGCAGACGTTACAACTCACAATTTTTTATTATTACGGACGCTACAAAAATTGCCGAGTAACGTGGAATGGCCGAACTATATTTTGACCACGATAGCCAAAAGGTTTTTATCACAGACATACTAATGTGTAGATGGTTTTTATAATAACGTTGTATACCAGTTGTTTTGGCTTTTTTTCCCACAGGGTGTACGAGATTTTTAGTGGCTTAACCTAGGCGATGTAAACAAATGATTTAGAACAATTTGATATAACCTAAATGTTATTTATTTGAGAATTCGTAACATACCTGGACGAATTAATATGTCTATGGTATATATTTTAAATCCCCCACTCATGAACTGACATTGCGCATAATGATGCGGAAAATCGACAAATTTTCCCCTTAAAAAAGGAAACAAGGTCATTTATACAAAATATAGCGAATAAGCAGTACATATGTGGAAGTGTATGGCTCAAAGTGCGTTAGGCCTTTAATTGAGCAAAGCACAAAAAGACACGTCTCAGCAAAATGGTTTATTTGATAAACGATACATAAAACGTATACGTTACTATAACAATTATTGAAATTATAAAGTGAGGCTAGATAACTGTCAGCAGTTGGTCCTAACAGACTAAGATGTAAAAAAACTGCTTCTGATTGGTCTAAATTATTTTTACATATTAGTAGATAAACGATCGCGTGAGCGTTGACAATATTAAAGCTTAAATTATGAAACGCTTGAAGATACAATATGTTACCTGCTTTTTAAATTATTATTATCAAATTAAATTGGTATTTATATGTTTATTTTAAATGAATTCTAAAATATTTTATATAGTATATAGTATTTTATATAGTATTAAAATACTGGAAAGTACAAACATAAAATCATACACGTATATGTTCCATATTCATGTTGACCGGTTTTATAAAAACAATAAAATGTGTTAATAGGTTTTGCATTTAATATTAAATAATTATGAAATAATAATACGTTGGAAGCAAAATTAATTTGTAGTTGCCTATTTGTCAAATTATATTAATAATGATTATAATTTATGACCTTTTATAACAATGCAATGGAATATTGATAATCACTTTCTTGGATAATGTGATATTTTATAGTAACCTTGAGATAACACCATTTAAAACAATTAAAAAATATAATTAAGTACCGTAATAATAAAATTGGAAACTAAAGAATTTATTTAAACAATTTTAATAATGAAAAAACATAATTACCGTAATATTAAAATAAAAAATATTTGAAACAAAAGAATTTATTAAATTGTATTAAATGTTGTCACATTTGTAAAAAAAAACTATTTATTTAATGCAGATATTAGAAGTATACTCATTATCTGCAATTACATTAATATTTTTTAACCAATTGCATTTAAATTTAAAATAATGGTATTTAATTATAATAAACTTAGCATGAAATTAAAATGTATATAATTCATATTTAACTGCTACATACGTATACAACAACAAAATATAAATATATTTAAATTAATATCAATTAGTAGTTTTTTGTCCGTAATATTTAACATAGAAAATTTGCGACATTTTTTCAATTATTTTAAAAGAATAGAAATATACAAAATTTGAAGTTATTGCTCAAAAACAAATAAAAATCAGATAACGAAATGTTTTTAATTAAAAAGCCAGCATACAGATTCTTTCATTTCATGTTCTGCGTATGATTACAGAACCACATCATAAATACACATGTTTATGATGTGCCAGAACTGTATTTTAAAGGTTTATTTTCACCCAAGGTTTATTAAAACAAGTTTTATGAACAATTAGCAAATTAAATGTTTTGTGTTGTGTTAAAACCCGTAAGGTTTTATTGGAAATTGTATAATTTTAATTAGTAGGTACATTGACATTGCCGCTGGCCTGGACATTGTATATTGAGTGGATTAATTTTCTGCACATCAATGCATGGGTGCCCGGAGGGGGAGGCAAGAGGGGGAACTTGCCCCCCCTGGAAACTTTTTCGCATTTATTATCAAAATAAAATATTTGCGAAAATATGATCATATTTTCAATATATCAGAGATCTTGAATTAGCAAATTGCCAATTGCTTATAGCACAAAAATGTTCTTCCAGTCATAGTCACAACAAATATAACTGATCACTATCCAACTGCTACACAGATTATATTAAATGATGTAATTAAACCACAAATATCAACAAGAAACTTTATTAAACAAATAAATTACAAAAACTTAAAACATGATTTACACAATATAAATTGGAATGAAGTCCTTAATAGTGAAGTTGAATCTGCCACAGAAAAATTTATTAATATTATTAAAAATAAAATAAATAAACATACAATATTTAAAAAGATTAAAAAAGAAAATAAAAAGCGTAAACCATGGATTACAACAGGCCTTATAAACTCAATTAATCATAGGGAAATTATTTTGGAAACGTTTAAAAAAACACAGGATATAAATATAAAAATACAGTATAATACCTACAAAAACCAATTAAAAAAATTAATAAATAAAGCTAAAAATGAATATTATAAAAATAAAATTAATGATTGTATCAGTAACAAACAAATTTGGAATACAATAAATAACTTTAAAAATCCAAAATCACAAGACAATGAAATCAAAGAATTACGTCACAATGATCAAATAGTATCAAACAAACAAAAAATTTCAAATATCTTCAACTATCACTACGCTACAATGGGAGATAAACTAGCAAATAAAATATATAAAATTAACAACTTTAAGGAAAATCGCTTAAGACTTAATAATTCACTGTTTTTATTACCCACATGTCCAAATGAAGTCAAACAAGAAATACAAAAACTAAAAAATAAAAGATCAGTAGGCATAGATAATATACAAAGTGAAACCATTAAACAAATTTCTGATATAATTGCATACCCTTTATCTAAGATAATAAATAAAATCTTTGAGACTGGTACTTGTCCAAAATCTTTTAAAACTTCTATTATTGTGCCCATATATAAAAAAGGTAATAAACAAGATCCCGTCAACTATAGACCAATATCCCTCATAACTAACTTCACTAAAATTTTTGAGTCCCTACTAAAATCAAGAATAGATAACTATATTAAAAAATATAAAGTTATATCGGAAAGTCAGTTCGGATTTCAGAAGGGCAAATCAACTCATCAAGCAATTGTGTCATTAACTCAAGATATCTACGAGGCTGTTGACAAAGGTACCCCAAACATATGTATTTTCCTTGATCTGGCTAAAGCCTTTGACACAGTCTGCCACGATAAACTTCTTCAAATTTTAGAAGACATTGGAGTTAGAGGTACCCTTTTGAAGCTCTTTGCTGACTATCTGAAAAACAGAATCCAACTAGTGAAGGTAGAAACACAATTTAGCGAAGCGGTGACTCCCATATGTGGGGTTCCTCAAGGTACCATTCTGGGTCCTCTACTGTTTTTGCTGTACATAAATAACTTATTTAGGGTTAAAACGGAAGAAAAACTTTTAAGTTTTGCTGACGACACCACCGTCTTTTATAAGGGTACAACATGGGAGTCACTGAAAACTAATATTGAGAAGGATTTTGTTTCCATTAAAAATTGGTTTGATCATAATCTATTAACATTAAATGTTGAAAAAACCAACTTTATGGCATTTGGTTCGTACGTTAAAAGCCTACCACAATACGACACGTTAAATTTTAATCAATTTTCGATTAAGATTTGTAAAACAGCGAAATTTCTAGGAATAACGCTAGATCCACATTTGAGGTGGGACTCCCAAGTGAAAACTATTACAAAAAAATTGAGATGTCTCATTTCCTATTTTAAATTACTTAAGCCAATTTTATCAATCCCACAGCTACATACGGTTTATGATGCACTCGTGGAGTCGCACTTAAGGTACGGTATCTTAGGCTGGGGCGGTGTCTACAAATCAATACTAAGAGATTTGGAAGTGGCTCAAAAAAGAATACTAAAGATTATTCAAGGGGTAGAAATAACTTACCCTACGGATGACCTGTTTCAGGAATCAAGAAAAATGGATTGTAGACAGTTATATTATTTGAACCTTTTGTTGCGTATGTTTCATGAAAAAAAAGGTTTTAAATTAGTTAACACCAGAAGTTGCAACTACTTACCTATTCCAAAAATGAAAAAAACTATAGGCCTACGTTGTCTAACCTACTTGGGCCCAAAAGTTTATAATAACCTACCTGATAGTATAAAAAATACCAAAGGTAACTCTTATAAAAAAATGTGCAAGAACTATATACTACAGCAACCCAGGCAGTTCACGGATAATCAAATTGATCTTAAAAACACATATTAAATTACTTCAATTTTGCATATTTTAAATTGTCCAAAACAAGTCAGTTGGCGTTATTCAATTATTTAATAAATTGTTCAAGTTTTTATGCCTAATGCCTTTTATTTTATGTTTTAAATAGTTACTAACCCTTATACATAACTTACTAACACTTATTATAATTGTTATTTACATATATTTCTAGTATTGTCCAAAATTGTACAAGTTTTTATGCCAACTGCCTTTTATTTTATGTTTTAAATAATTACTAACCCTTATATATAACTTACTAACACTTATTATAATTGTTATTTACATATATTTCTATTTCTATACACGCACAAATGTTTAATTACATTTAAGTGTTTTAGCATATTTATTGATTTTAATGTAACTTGCAATCTATGTTATTTTTACTATTAATCAATAAATATTATTATTATTATTATTATTATTATTATTATTATTATTATTATTATTATTATTATTAATTAACTACTTCCTACATCTACAAAAACACTATGTAAAATTACATTTTTATTATTGCCGATTATTATTCATAAATAAAAATAAGGGAGTAAAATAGTATATTATTATACGAGAGATAATGCAGGCTAATATTCACGAGGATGAGGTTTACGAGTCGCTAGACGAGAGACCTAAACCATCCGAGTGAATATTGCGCATAATCTCGAGTGTAATAATATACTTTATCTACTCCAAAAGTAGATAATTAAGTGATTTTCAAAATTAAATAAATAAAATCTGACATCTGTCAAATGGTTAACCTTACTTTTTACCAATTTTAAATGTTATTATAGTCGCATTCTTCCTTTTTAAAACTCAATTGGTTCAAATCACAGTGAATACTAAAATCGGCCAATTACTGATGCCTAACAACGTGAATACTGAGTTTATTATTCACGTTGTTAGGCAGGAACCGAGGCAGGAACTTTATAATGCTTAAATAATATTCACGGAAAAACACCAAAATTATGCAATAGGAGTAGATAAAGTATTTTTTTTGTTTCTTCTTGGTCCCTATTTGCTCTTAACTTGGTACAAAAATAAATATCGAAATTAAGCACTTTCAACTAAATATTTCTAAATTGTTTAATAAAAAATATTTGTCTTAAATTTTTCGACTGCCATTTATAATTATTGCCCCCCCCCCTAGACAATTTTCTGTGGGCGCCCTTGCATCAATGGCTACTATTTTATTTTGTAGAAAAAATAAAATGCACCGTCCTATTTTACCCCAATTTAATTAACTTTTACAAATAGCAGAGCTGGGAAAGATACTTTCTAAAAGTATTTAAATACTATAAAAGATAAAATATTAAAATAAATAAAATAATAAATAAAAATTAAGTATTTTTTCTAACGTCCTATATTATCGTACATTTATTCATGACACTAAGACTTAGTGACCTTTTAAACACAAATTGATAAGTTGTGGCTTTAAAGCGTTTTAGTCACGGGCTAAAGTTAGCAACAGGTTTTTAGTCACGTTAAAATAAAGTGCCTTTCTTTTAAAATAATACTAAATGTGAAAACTATTTTATTATCTTACTACAAAACTACAAAAGTATTAAATAGTTTAAACGTTCATATAATCTTTTCAAATATTGGCGTCAAGAATTCTTGACGCCAATATTTGAAAAGATTTTATGAACCTTTGTACTGACCTTGACGGTGCTCATAAAACATTATCTCTTTTACTGTAAAAAACTGGCTTCTATATGATTGTTAGTGTATTTTTAAGGGATAAATTTTGATTTACACAGAAAACTTGAGATTTTAACGCCGGTAGATTCCCAAGAAATTCTAACGGTAATTCCAATAAACTGTCACTTTTTGTACCTTTAACATTTACCGTGTAAGAATTTTTAATATTTTGTGAGAATATTTTGCAATTAAAGTATCCTAGAATCTAGGATAGGACTTAGATATGTCATTTAAGGATGTCCTTGGACCAGCCTTAATGTCTCAGAATGGGATGAAAATAATAATTAATTAAAAATATTAATTTTATTTACTTAATAGATAAAATGGTCAATATGATAAATTGCTACAAAAAAAATCCTAAACATATAACTAAATAACAATATTACACTGAGAGAAAGAAATATTTGTTAATAATGAGGCACGTTAACTATTAACATATCGTTGAGTTGGATATGGCGAAAGAAATATTAATTTGGGTCTAAGAACTGGTTAAGTTGAATTAAAGAAGCTCATAACGTATTAGCAAATGTAGATATATTATTATAACTGTTAATATATCGAAATTCCATTTTGTAAAAAACTACGGCAACGTCACATGCTTGCGCATATTGCATTTAAAATTATGTTGACAAATGTTAAAACGTTTTATTCGAATTTAGGTATATTAACTGTTAATATATCACAGTTCTAAGACAACTTTATCCTTTATTTGTCTGAAACACAATCACCGGACGATGTTATAATAATTTGTATATAATTTGTTTACGATTAAGAAATTTTTTAATATATATTTAAAAAAAATCGCAACTGTTTTGATTTCTTAATAATAAATATTTCTTTTTCTCAGTGTATAAATATTTATTTGCAATACCTCTCACTACTACTCCCTTACCGATAGGTTACAAATAATCGTTGGAGGTGTGCTTCTGTGATTGCTAGAACTCGGAAATGCCAAATTTATAAAATTAGGTACTTAAATAGGTAAAGATTTTTAGATGATAAAATTCTTAAATTAGTTACGTAGGTAGGCTTTAGGAAAATAATTGCTGGAAAGCAACTTTTAGGTGGTAAAATAATTTAATGTATTATTGTATAAAATTGTATTATGTTTTATGATTTGAAAAATTTGAAAATTACCGAGGAATATAAGCATACAATTGCTGAAAATAAAAAATTAACATTCATTATATTAAGAGAAAAATTCTCATAAAAAAGCTCAAATTTCTAGAATTTGTGAAAATATAAGAGATTTTTAAATAAAACATGAGATTGATTGGAAAAACTTGAGATCTCAATACCAATCCTGTACAACAAAACTAAGTATATGGTGCATAAGAATTATGTCATCCGAATACGACAACCACAATATTACCAAAAAACATGTTTTTGATAATAAAATTGGGTTAATTTCTGTTAAAAGTTTAGGTGAAATAGGTAAAATTACCCTAGTTTAGGTAGTAAAATGTAAAAATTAGGTCCTTTTCTCTTGAAAATTAAAATGTATGTAAAATGGGTAAAATAAAATCAGGCTCGAATGAAATCATTTTCTTCAAACCGGATTTTATTCCATTGCACCTAAAGTTATTAGCGTAGACAAATGGGTAATAACTAAAGATGGGATATTTAGGGACTAAAAACTGAAAAATAGGTAACTAAAAAGGTACTAATTAGTACCTTTTTAGTTACCTATTTTTCAGTTTTTAGTACCTAAATATCCCATATCCTGTTTTACTGAGTGACACTCACTACACAGAAGTTCACAGAACATAAGCTCACTACAAAGAACTTCTTTGAAAGAAGGTAACTGTAAAGAAAGTTACTGTTACAGTCTGTGACCATAAGAAAACATTCTATACCGTTGAGTTGCACGCCCTGGATAAAATATTGGCGGAAAATTTAAAAAGAGCACAAAAAAATAAAATAAGTAAAAATACGTAAAAATAGATAACAAATATGTGAAAATAAACTGACAAATTAAAAAATATGTAACAAAAGTATAAAAAAGGTAATTTAAAGCAAAAACCTCCAAAAAAGGTAAAAAAAGGTGAAAACAAGTTAGGTTCATATAAAAGAAAATCTTTTAAAACACATTTTGGCATTATTGGTTTTCAAATAGTTACATCGGTTGAAAAAAGGTAAAATAACTAAAATCTCATCCCTAGTAATAACACTAAAATCCTATCTTTAGAGTGGGGCTGAAGAGCACAAAAAAATAAAATAAGTAAAAATACGTAAAAATAGATAACAAATATGTGAAAATAAACTGACAAATTAAAAAATATGTAACAAAAGTATAAAAAAGGTAGTTTAAAGCAAAAACCTCCAAAAAAGGTAAAAAAAGGTGAAAACAAGTTAGGTTCATATAAAAGAAAATCTTTTAAAACACATTTTGGCATTATTGGTTTTCAAATAGTTACATCGGTTGAAAAAAGGTAAAATAACTAAAATCTCATCCCTAGTAATAACACTAAAATCCTATCTTTAGAGTGGGGCTGAAGAGCACAAAAAAATAAAATAAGTAAAAATACGTAAAAATAGATAACAAATATGTGAAAATAAACTGACAAATTAAAAAATATGTAACAAAAGTATAAAAAAGGTAGTTTAAAGCAAAAACCTCCAAAAAAGGTAAAAAAAGGTGAAAACAAGTTAGGTTCATATAAAAGAAAATCTTTTAAAACACATTTTGGCATTATTGGTTTTCAATTAGTTACATCGGTTGAAAAAAGGTAAAATAACTAAAATCTCATCCCTAGTAATAACACTAAAATCCTACCTTTAGAGTGGGGCTGATCAAAATTCAAAATTCAAAAGTAGATACTTAAGTATTTAAGGTAATAATTATTACTTTTGTCTTAGATGATTCCCAGCTCTAACAAACAGGGACGGCCAACACGATCGAACATTTTCATTTAGGTTTAGTAAATTGTAATACAATTATTGTATAACGCTGTTCTCCATTCACCAAAGATTCAAAACTAAAGAATATTTGTGTTAGTTAACCAGGCAACCATGGCCAATTTTGCGCTACAGCGGTTTTCGAGTCCAGGTGACTCAAGAAAAAAACGATT